ATATGTATATTTCATAAAATGGTTTTTGTGCGCAGTCACGAGACTATTTCTATTCTAAACTCAATTGAAATAGCCTGCTTCATATAAAAAAGATCGACGATCGATTTTGTCACAAAGTGATAAAACGAATGTCCATTATGCTTTGTGGTAGTCTAAACGTAACCCAACGATACAATAATAGATAGATTGCATGTGGTAGTCTAAAACGTTACGCATCACAACATATTTATTTGCGTCTAAACGTAACTCAACGATACAATAATAGATAAATTATGACACACGCTTGCATTATTGCACAATTCAAAAATCATTATTTATGCGTGGCAGCCTAAACGTTATGTATATTTATAAGCGCGCTATGCGTGCGCGACATTCTAAACGTTATGCTCACGTGAACCCAACATTTTTAATATGATAGATAGATGGCTAATTGTATTTTTTAAATATTGAATCACTTTTTCTAAACTATTTAATGTCTCTTTATCAGAAGTAACCATCATCAGAATCATCAACCTCAAGATTTGGTTCCTAATAATTTCTTCATCAGTAAAAAAAAAAAGGATAGTATACAAACATTAATAATAACAAATAATTTTAACACATTGCATTTAGAAACCACATCAACATTAATCATTAATGTAAAAGATTGTCACAATTTCCCTATAACGAACACAATTCATAAGGTATGTTCTATATCAAATTTTTTAAAAGTCCATTATACATAAGAGATTTTATTAAGAAGTCCCACTATAACAAACAAATTTTATTATAAAGGGAAAAATAAAAAAAGTCCACTATAAGCAAAATCCCAACAATATATATATATATATATATATTTAATAAAATGCAATTAATTTAAAATAGTTTCATATATTTTTTGATGTCTTTCAAAATTTCTATATATATTTTTACTTGTAAAAAACATTTTATTTATATGCGGTGAAACTTCAGTATGTACTATTTGATCTGTAAGGTTGATATAATAATCATAAATATAGATATATATACTTCAAAAAAAAATTTTTTTTAAGTATATATTAGTATTGCGGTGATTAGCAATAATCTAAACAGGAATTGATTTACATTTACTAGATACGTGTATATATATATATTATGCTTTCTGTTGTCCAATATATTAACAATGGCTGGAACAGAAGTTGCAATTAATAATCCAGATAATAATAATATAGTAACTATAATTGAACTTAGTACAAAATTAATAACCAGGGTAGACTTTCCTCAAGTGCAAACAAGAGGAAAGAAAACATATGCCTATAACAATCTC